AGGAAAAGTAAATAAGGAATAGAGGGTGAGTAAAGCAAATCAAAAGGGAAGAAGTAAACTATAACAATAAAAAATATCTCACTACAACAAAAAAATAAGACATTATTCTGGGGGCCTTTATAAATCTGTGCAGGAAAAAAAGTGTCATTATTCTGTGGGCCTTTTTAAATCAAGGGTCCACATTATGGTAGAACAATTTAGAACATCTCCATTAGTTTGAGCATTTTGAACATCTTCTACTAAGACTATGAATCTTTGGATGTTGAATTTGATCACCTCAACATCTCCCCACTTCTGTGTGTCTTGCGGCACTTTCGGTTCGACGTGGCCTTCTGAGCGCCGTCTGAGCGCCGGAAGCCACGCGGTCTCCGCGTTCCACTCGTGCGTCCCCGAGCGGAGCGTTCCGTTCACCTCATGCCGCACTTCACCATGGAGCAGGTGAGGAGCCTCATGGATCAGACGGAGAAGATCCGGTCCTTGAGTCTCTCATTGTTGGACTTAGCAGGGTTTTTGCAGTGCTCCTCAAATCAGCTTAGCTAGGTGCACTGTCCATTCTCCACCCAACAAAGGAACAGTTGATTCGTGATGCAGTTGAGATAGCATGAGAGAGCATTTATATAGTGATCATTTATTTGTGTATACTTGTACCTAAACTCTTTGAGGCACTGATTCGTCAGATGGAGGTGCACACACATGTTGTTTGACTGTTCTATGCGCTTGCGCACACCGCGCGCGCGTCGCGTGTCAAACACACCCAGGGTCATTGAGTCATTCCAGGTATCATCGCGCACGTGGATCACGGAAAGACCACCTTGGCCGATTCCCTGGTCTCGCGCGCGGGGATCATTTCCGCCAAGGCTGCCGGAGAAGCGCGCTTCACGCATGGACGAAAGGATGAGCAGGAACGTGGAGTCACCATCAAGAGTACTCAGTCAGTTATCATCATGATGTTGTTGTTGTGATTACTCGGCTGTGATTTTTATTTGTGTTGGTTTTTATCAAGAGTGCATAGTATATCGTAGTACCATGCTTTTTGGTGTGTTTTTACGTCTATCAGTAATGGTCACAAGATTTCAATCTATACTTACTATCAGGCGATGTTCCAAAGTTGACTTGTGTTGGATTACTATCAGGATTTGCCGATCTGAACCTGTTGAAGGAGACCATATACCGTATACATCCGTATACCCAAACAGACCAAAAAGGTTGATACAAAAAACATATTGAATCGCATTTGTTTGAAGGGAACAATGTCTCGTTTGATGAAACTATGGTGTAATCACAGTTGTAATCACCTACTAATCCGCATGTTATTGTAAAGAATTCAATTACATAAGTTATAGTTGCAACCCACTGATCAAAGCAGGAGTGGTATTCGGTTGAGTGTATATAGTCAACATTCTTAAATCATCAGAATATCAGTTTTTCCAGAGTCAAGTCGGATATATATATATATATATTGCTGTGTTGTGATTCTTGTTTGTGTTTCGGATGACACAGGTGTTATTCAGGTGTTGTTTTAATTTGTATTTTTCAGATATCAAATTACGCGAGTATTGGATCAAATTACGTGAGTGCTGTTGCTTCTTGTTTTTTTGTTTTAGGACCAGGATTTGATTTTGTTTCACTAAATTGGAGCTCAAATTACCCAAGTATATTGGTGGGTTTTTGGCAGGAGAGAAGTCAGGTTTGCAATTGGTTCGCAGTTTATTAATGTGATGTGAACATCACTCTTGTTGTCAGTTGTCAGCAAAACATTGTTCCAAATTAAGGTACGGGCGTGACCTTGTGCTTTGAACACGATTCAGATGGGCATCCACAACCTTACCTTGTGAACCTCATAGATTCACCAGGACACGTCGACTTCTCTTCTGAGGTCACTGCCGCACTCCGAATTACCGATGGTGCGATTGTGGTGGTGGATTGCATCGAAGGTTGTGCTGTGCAGACGGAAACGGTGCTGCGACAAGCGCTACAAGAGCGCGTGAAGCCTTGCCTCTTCGTGAACAAGGTTGATCGTTGCATCCTCGAAATGCAAATGGATGCAGAAGACATGTATCTTCGTTTCCGAACAGCCATTGAGAATGTGAATGTGATTATCGCCACCTACAATGACGCCTCTATGGGTGACTTGCAGGTGCGGCCTGAGGCTGGAAACGTGGCTTTTGGCAGCGGACTTCATGGATGGGGATTTGGGGTCGAACACTTTGCCAAGATGTTATCAGCCAAGACAGGTGGCAACAAGTCACGTATGATGGAGAAGTTGTGGGGAGATTGGTTCTATCATCCGAAGAAGAAGGTTTGGACCAATGTCCAGCATCCTGAGGATTGTGAGGAACCCTTGCAAAGAGGGTTCTGCCAGTACATCATGAACCCCATCAACCAGCTGATTCATGCCATCGTGGACAAGGACTCAGAACGCTATGAGAAGATGATGGAGAGGCTTGGGATTGTCTTGAAGGGGGAAGAGAAGACGCTCACAGGCAAGCAGCTCATGAAGCACGTAATGCAGAACTGGATCAATGCTGGCGACTGTTTGGTCTCCATGATTGTCAATCTACCGTCACCCAAGGTGGCGCAACGTTATCGTGTTGAGAACCTCTACGATGGTCCTATGGATGATGACGCTGCCATGGGCATTCGCGACTGCAACCCACAGGGCCCCTTGATGATGTACGTCTCCAAAATGGTGCCTTGTAACAAGAGTCGCTTCTTTGCCTTTGGCAGAGTCTTCTCCGGCACTGTGGCCACTGGACAAAAGGTTCGCATCCAAGGGCCACACTATAAGCCTGGAACCAAAGAAGACCTGCACGTCAAGGCGATTCAACGCACTGTGATCATGATGGGCCGTGGCACAGAGTTCATACAGGACCGTGTTGTTCTAGCATGGTCAATTGCTGTATTCAGTATCATTTATATATATATTACGTATATTTATATTTGTCATATATTTAGTGCTAAATTATGTTATGTTGTGGTCGATTCCCTGATCCCATCAGTTACTTTTATGCATTGGAAGACGATGCAGCACGATTTGATCGAGATAACCTAGGGTTGAAAGGCAGACACTTGTTTCGGCCAAGATGTCAACAGTTTGCTGAAGTCTGAATATTCCGCAAGAAGTCTTGGAATAGCAACCTGGAGTGTTTGGTACTACATATCACATCAGTTAGCATCTTATTGATTCTATATATGCGTAGACCAATGTGCTACCTTCAAGGGTTAAGTTATAGTGCACGAATACCTGATTCGGGTTAGAACCCTATAGTCCAGTATGTCTTGCACACTGATCTTTTTGGCCTCGCCTCAAAGCGGAGACTTGCGGTCATTGCTAGACCCGGCGGACTCTGGTAGGACGTGCCCTGCGGCAACACTGTAGCTCTGGCCGGAGTTGATCAGTATATCTTAAAGTCTGGCACGATCACCACCTTGGAGGATGCTCATAACTTCACCGACATGAAGTACAGTGTGTCTCCTGTGGTGAAGGTTGCAGTGAAGCCAAAGGACGGCAAAGACTTGCCAAAGCTGGTCGAAGGGATGAAGAAGTTGTCCCAATCTGATCAGCTTGTCATTTGCTCCGTGGAAGAAAGTGGAGAACATGTGATTGCTGGATGCGGTGAGCTACATGTGGAAATTTGCTTGAAAGATTTGAGGGAGGAGTTCGCGCAATGCGACTTCACCGTCTCTGATCCAGTTGTTTCCTATCGTGAGACAGTCACTGAGACATCCAGCCAGACTTGCTTGGCGAAGTCGGCCAACAAACACAACCGCCTCTACTTCACCGCTGAGCCCTTAAGTTCTGAGCTGATTCAGGCCATTGAAGAGGGCTCCCTTGGGCCAGCTGATCCTAAGGAGGCTACAAAGCTCTTGAGCAGCAAGTTTGGATGGGACAAGCAGGTCGCCCAAAAGATTTGGTGCTATGGTCCAGACTGCGATGGCCCCAACATGGTGGTGGATTCCACCATCGGTGCCCAGTACTTGCAGGATATCAAGGATTCCGTGGGAAGTGCCTTCCAGTGGGCCACCAAACAAGGTCCATTGTGTGAGGAGAACATGCGAGGCATTCGTTTCAACCTCACGGAGGTGCTCTTGCATCCAGACAAGGTGCATCGAGGAGGCGGTCAAGTCATGCCGGCCGTGAGGCGGTGCTGCTTCGCATCAGAGCTCACAGCGAAGCCAACTCTGCAGGAACCAATCTTCTTGGTTGAGATCTCATGCCCCAAGGATGCCTTGAGTGGAATCTACAACTGCCTGAACCTACGCCGAGGCCCAGAATCAGAAGCGCTTCATGTGTTTGTGTATGTTTGAGACTGATTGACAAGATGATGACGACCCAATGATGACTAACCTAACAGTTCTACAAAGCTACATGCCAAACTAATAATGTTGAACAAATACATTTTGTGATGTGGATGTTTCTCAATATTGGCAACTCTGAGGATATACAAAGAAGGCATGTTAGAATTTGAATTGTCATGCCCGGTCATGACGGTCATGATGGTCCTCAGGGACACTGCTCTCCAATGCTTGAGTGTGCGTCATTGTTGCGTCAGGGTCCCTGATCCACACATGTTCATCATGTCGATCAATGAAATTGCTGTCAGTGAACTCGATCAGGCTGCGTCTTTGAGGAGAATCAACGTGAGGGAACTCCATTGGTACAGGTGAAAGCACACTTGCCGGTGTCAGAGTCCTTTGGCTTCGTTGCTTCACTGAGACAGGCAACAAGTGGTCAAGCGTTCCCTCAGTGTGTCTTCGATCACTGGGAAAGTCTTCCGGGCAACTGCTTGGAGAAGGGCAGCAAGATGGAGGAGTTGGTGCTCAGCATCAGGAAGCGCAAGAACTTAAAGCTCCAAATGCCTCTTTTGAGTGACTACTTGGACAAGCTCTAAGCCTTTGGGGAGATGGCAACGCCAAGACAACGCAAAGCTCACGGTTTGTTGGTGACATGACTTCTCAGGCAGCCACACATGCCTTTATGATCCACGTATGTCAGGGCACTAGTGTATTGCTTCTCTTGGTGCCAAACTTTGTTTTCAGTGCTGCCTTGGGAGGTTCATCTAATTCACTTACACTGTACAGATGGGCCATTTGTGGCTTGATCATGGCGTTGTACAGTGAAATGCCATAGAACTGCCCCAGACATCCAAAACCGGTCACACAACGTGGATGTTCCATCACTGAAACTTTTTCACATCGCTTGGCTCGGGACTGCCATGAGGTTACGTACATGAACGCCCCCATCAAGAGCCCGAGTCATTTTGACAGCAGGGGGGGTCGAATGGGATGGTAGAGGAAGACCACGTGTTTATGTGATGTTTCTATCGAAGGAAGATGCAGAAAGGAAGGCTGGTCCAGGCCTCCCGGACCAGTAACTCGGGACCGAAAGTTTCGCACTCACTGGAGTTGCTGGGAAATCAACCCAACTGCTGGAGGGACCGAAAGCTCAGGTCCTTGAGGGCTGGAGTGCTCAGTTCAGCACCTGGCGTAAGTCGGATGACCACGTGGTGAGGCGGCCGGGAGAACTCGAGTTGTGGGCCACGGCACGATGAGAGGGTTACAGGTAGGCTAAGGCATGGCTTCAAGTGGTTTCAACACGGATGAGATGGGCGAGATTGGGATCACTTTTTGGGAGTATATAGAGGGTAAACCCCTTCCAAACAGATTATTATATAGACTTTAGATGATAGGTCAGGAATCAGGAATCCCCAGAAATGAATCAAGTCCACTAATGAAATGATTTGTTGGGGTTTCCCTATTCTTCATCAAGTCCTGAGTATCTTGTGAGTGAGGACCACAAAGGACCTGACCACTTCGATCCAACCTATTGCACTGGCAGCACATGATCGACAGCTTTCCGTGAGGCCTCAAGACTGAAGAGTCATGCAAGGAAACTCCAAGAATACTTGATCCGCCGTGATGGGATTTCCGTACCGCTCGGTGCAAACAGTTCTTTCCAAGACACTCCATGTAATGAACTAATGAACATATACACTCATATTGACCCCTGAAACCACTCTGAAACCACCCCAATGTAGGTAAAGATTCCATTCCCATGGAATATGAGCTTCAAATCAACTCCAACATGAAAGCCTGATAGTTCGTCTCCCCAACTCGCCGTTAGTCGCCCACCCGCCCACCAGCGTTGCAAGGCAGATTCGAGGACAGTTGGGAGAGTTGGAAGAGGCCAACAGAGCCTTGATCAACTTCCTCAACGCACCTTGCCGTGGATTTCTGCACGGAATGTGCACCTTCCGGCGATGCACGACGGACGCCTACCAGCGCAGTGGTCAGCGGCTTGAAGTCGAGGTTTGGTGGTTCAGAGAAATGTGATCCCCCTCTAATGAGAAGCATTGTCAGCATGGTCCACTGGTCCACATCTCATGTTTGCTTCCTAATTATATGATCCGTATTCCTTTGAATTTGTTTGTCACCTCTAAGGTTGCATTCACATCTCATCGAATTTCTGAAAGGAACACCTGGGATGGTTTCACTGGTTGTTTTCTCGATTCTCTTGTGCGCTCAGGAGTATATCACCACCTCTGAATTTGCCGCCGGGCTGGCGAACGCGTGCGTTGTTGCGGTTCGATATGGTTCGATGGGAGCGAAATATTGTGGGTGGGTCCTTCGATGGGAGCGAAATATTGTGGGTGGGTCCTTCGGCAGGTCCGTTGCACAACGGTGAAAGTGAGGGAGTCCTTTTCCAAACATGTCCAAACCCATTTTGGGGTGAATTCTGAAAACACACACTTATGGATATACGTATACATACGGCCTCGACGTTGCTCCGTTGCACGTACGGATTGGTCGGCAGTGGTCGTCTGGTGTTCAGATCGGGCATGAATTGGTGCACCAACAGATCGACCCCATATTCTCACCTGGCAGTGGCGGGTTCACCATCAGGGAACTCTTGCTGGCCAGAAACTGCATGGCCAGTGACGTGTTCTGACTGGTATGTGTGGCATCTTACAAATGACAGCCTCACGTCAGTCCTCACGTCTTATGTGTCTTAAATGTGTCTTCCAAGAGCTTGTAGAAGTGATCCGGGATTTTGTTGTTCGTCCTACTTTTCAAGCCAAAAGTTGGAAGATGCGGAAAATGACGCTCATCCCATCCCATCCCCCATCGTAGTTCTATGTCGTTCTATCTGGGAGCTCGTTTAGTATCATACTTGAATTGGTTGTTCTCTCTCTTTTGTTCCAATGGCTTCGGCTTCCCAAAACAGGGATTCGAAGAACAAACAAAAAACATTTAAACAAATACAAAAACACACACAGACAAACAAACAACGGGATGCGTGTGTGTTAAGTCGTGACTCCGAACTTCGAGAAAACGGAAGCTCGCCGAGGCGCAGTTCCGCGAAGCGATGAACAAGTATTCCACCCTGGTGGACGAACTCTCCGAGTCGCGCCAGGCGAGGTCGCGCCAGCTGCGTGACGAGGTCGGAGTGGTGACTCTGACCCGGATGGATGGAAGTTGGGTACGGAACTGGGAGCACCAGAAACTGGGTCGTTTGGGCACCAGTTTGGTACATGAATGCAAATGTTTGTATGATATACATATCATCATATCCATGGTCCTTCTTAGCGCTGCAGGGACATGGGGGAATGGATGCGACGGTTACTTGTACTTGATGAGCATAATCAGAGAGGGTGCAGGAGCCAGAGACACCTTAGGAGTATTGTTTCTTTGGAGAATGATGGCTGCCTGGCATTCACAGTCAAGAAATACAGTATCCAATGTTCCTGGGGTCCACCACCAATGGCATGTGGGTGTGTATTTCAAGAGGGAGACACCCTCACCAAGGGGTATAGGTATACGGGTTTTTGGTCTATGTTCCTTCTTCAAGGAGATCTAATTATGGGGTGTCTCCCTATACCCATGTGAAACCTATCAAATATCCACATAGTCATGTCTCTAGACAGCTTGTCACTGTTGAGCCATTGGGATGATTGAAGTGCTCCGTGCAGACCCTCACTTGAGACCCCTTCCGTCGCTTCACGCAGCCTGGAGCCATGAGCCTCTGCTCTCAGGGCCATGAGTCTGTACTGCTCTCCACAGTGGAACATGTGGTGAATAAAGCTGCTGGGAGCCACAGCTTTCGACAGCTTTTGCTGGGGTGAGGATTTGTGACTTTGGGTAGCCTTGCCTAGATAGTCTTGGACAAGAGATTCACCACATACCAGACTAGCAGAGATCAGCAACGGTTTAAAGTGGGCCACCATGCCGCCATGGACCTTATTATGTCCGTGGTCATTTGCAGATGTTGAAACAGAACTACTACGGAACTTGGTCCCAGAGCCTTTGGGAGGTGCTGTTTACCCTTATTTCTGGTGTCGCAATCCAGTGGGCCAAGGGGCTTCGGCTTCTGTATGTGGCAGTGAATCTCGGTCCCTAACCCCCTGTGGCAAGACGAAAGATCACTAAACCGGCCCCCTAAGGGCTGGTTCATGCACACCCCGAATCACCAATTTGTGTGTTTTCCTCGGGACGTTGACACCCCTTTCACAGACGGCCCTGGTTCCCGTACCGTCCGTCCTTTTGTCGTTTTGTTACTTCATTCCGGCGCTGGAAGCCGGTGACCTGCGGATCTTGCAGGTCAGCGCGGCGACCAGCAACCTGGGACAGTTAATTGAGGAAAAAACCGCGCAGCAGGCGCAGCTCCGGAAGATGTAAAGATGGGGTGAAGCAAGAGCAGCCACTCTAGGTTGGTAGGCCATTGATGACTACATGACAGGGTGTTTTGAATGTGGTGGCATTTTTAGAGGTGCTGTTAGGTATAGTCATACATGACCATGTACCGTCACTGCTTGGGTCCCCCCCAAAACGCCTACGCGCCGCCTTCTGTGTCTCCACCGTCTCGTCTCCACCGGAGACACCGCCAGGTGACGCGGCACGCGATGGAGCAACGGCGGCAGATCAGTGAGGTCCTCGAGAGCGTGGAGACTTACGCGAGCCAGGCCTGATGATGCTTTGATATCTTCATGTGGGGTACTACTGTACTGGGGGTAATTATATTACATGTTTTTTTGAGCGGCTCATTGGCTTCCAGCACAAAATTATACTTAATTAACTACTATCTATATATATATATATCATATCATATATCTATCTATGCGATTATACTTATAAATGTTTATGACATAGTATTATAGCATAGATTGTTGTATCTGTTTGTTGTGTTTCTGTGTTTTTTGCACATATCGAGTGTTTTGCGCAGACCGACCCCAGGTCTCCCAGCAGTTCGAGAACCAACACGTGGTTTTGCAGGATAAGCTGGGATCGGCCGCTTGACCAGGAGCATGTCGAATCTTTCACGTCTTGGTGTTGAGCCATATAAAGATGTGCAAACACGCAATGTTCATACAACATGAGCAAACAGCAACACCCTGTCACCACAGGCACCACAACAGCAAAACTCGAGAGAAACAGGCCCAAAGATGCTCAGTCAGACGCTTTGGTCAGCCTTCACACATGGCTGTTCATTTGATATAGGTTTAGATGTGCTTAGATCATCCACCCGCCGGGATATTTTGGGCTTATCCTATATTATAGCTCTCAAGGTCAGATATCGTTCATTCGATATCGCCCCGAAAAACACCGAGCGGAGTGTCTCCCGGTTTGGTCGGCACAGGTCATGCAGGACATCGGCAGCGTCATGCAGAGCCGCATGCAAAGCTCCGCCGACGAGATCGCGGCCTCCACCCTGCAGGCGCTCGTGATCTCTCTAGGGCCACCGATCTTCAGTTTGAGTTATTTTATAGTATGTTAGTGAAGTTATTGTTTTTTCTTTTTGTCCGGGGTGAAACACAGTTCCTTGAAGAAATCTGACATTTGTTGTTGCATAGAAAGGTTGCTTTAACTTGAAAGGGCTCGACTGGTTACCCTTTAGAGGGTGCTGAACCAACCCTTGGATAGCTTGACGGTTGGTCATTCAGACGATATGAGCACCATCGGTTGCTGCACTGCAGCTGCTGTTGCGCTAAATATTTGGGCACTTGGTTTTGACTGGTATGTTCATGTTCAGGGTGTACATTCAGGGTTCACTGGTTGAACGCAGTCGTTAAATGCAAATCCCTCATGGGACATGTGCTAGATCAATCGTTTCACGTGTGTCTTCCGATCTCACCTTCAGTGCTGGGCCTTCATGATCAACGCACATCCATCACGTGATTTCCCAGACTGGACCATCCATGTATGGTATAGCCTATACATTGACCCTTAAAAATCCTTAAAAGCATCTAAAATCCCCCCAATGTCAATTCAGGCCATATTCCATACATTTGGTCTTCCTGACCCGCGATCACAGTCGAACCCTCCATTGCATGTCAGCCGAACACAAT